GTTAGTCATTGTCAACGTAAGGTGCACAGAATACAGTATATAGTTATTGTTTTTTTGTTTAAAAGTATGTATTAGATGTGTACAATTTAGGTGGGGATGCAAATCACTGGTAAATACAGCACTGCAGGTGGTATCAGATCCATTCCACATCTTAAATAGTAAACTCGGTAAATACAGGTCGATCTAATCCAATCCACATCCTATGTGGCCTGGCCTGTAACCATTATAGGGAACTAGAATATACTCCAGTGGTGGAACAGGTCGGGTTCCAGTGTTCTTTTACACAGATGCTGTGAGATGGTGTCACTTCTACATTTCCTAGCAACTTTGACTGCACTGTGGGACTATCGTAGGCTCCTTCAAACTTACAGCTACAGTTAATGGCGCTGAAAAATCTAAAAATTGATCTTAAGCATGCTTTGGCTAAATAAAAAAAAAAACATTCTTTGAATAAACTCTCAGTGGTGTCCTTAGATCTTCGCCCGAAAAATTCTGGAGGTATTTTAGCGATAGGAAAGAAGTAGACGACGAAATACATGTCGGTAGTGATATTATAACGAAAAAATATGCGATAGCAAACCATTTTAACCAATTTTTTCAGTCTGTGTTTAACCTGCCAGAAACTAAAGCAAGTAGGGAAGAAGCCGTAGTAATTTGTTGTCCTACTGTTTCAATGGAGACTCTTGAAATAGCTAGAGAGGGGGTATTTTAGCAGCTACTCACATTAGATACTAAAAAATTCTAATGGTCCCAATGATATACCAACTGTATTCCTCAAGCGATACGCAGAATAGATGTCACATTATCTAACTACTATATTTAAGAAATCTTATACAACGCACTCACTGCCACAAGATTGGCGCACTGCATTCGTCATACCTGTATTTAAAGGCGGCAATCGCAAACTGGCAACAAATTACCGTCCAGTATCACTCACTTCCGTTGCTTGCAAATTGTTTGAACACATAATTGTAAAACACATACTCGCATTTCTGGATCAAAATGCTTTGTTGTATCCTTATCAACATTGCTTCAGGATGGGGTTATCAACCTTGATCTAGTTAATAGAAACAATTCATGATTTTGTGAGTGCTGTAGATATAAGACAACAGGTTGATGTGATATGTGGGGATTTCGCGAAAGCATTTGATAAAGTATCTCATGTCCAATTAATCGTCAAATTACATCATGCAGGAATAAATGAACTCGTAATAAAATGTATTGAAGCTTATTTAACACATCGTACAGATAATGAAACTGGATGGTCACTTATCACAACTCTTGGTGGTACTTTCGCGAGTGCCCCAAGGCTCTGTGTTGGGACCACTATTGTTTCTCCTGTACATCAATGATATCAGTAGTGTGGCAGAAGAGGGTATTCGTGTTAAACTTTTCGCAGATGACTGCTTAATCTATGCCGCAATTACCAAACTAGACGACCAAATCAAAATTTAGAACTCTTTGCAAAACGTAGATAACTGGTGTAGAAAATGGAAAATGGCAATAAATTATTCTAAATTTACATTTACACACATCAGCAAAAAGAAAACAATCCATTCCTTTGTGTACAACATTGGTGAACACTTGTTGGTAAATATGACCCAGTTCAAATTACCTTGGGGTTACAATTATGCAAAAATTAACATGGAATGAGCATATAGATAACGTTTGCACGAAAGTCTATCAAAAGTTATATTTATTCAGGAAGAAGCTGCAGGATGCATCACACGACGTAAAACATATTGCATACACCACCTTCATTAGGACAGTACTAGAATATTCATCCGCTGTTTGGAGTCCCCATCAAGTTACTCGTAAGAAGAAGCTGGCAAGAATACAGAGACTAGCGGTGCGCTTTATTTGTTCAAGGTACTGAAGGAAGGAATCAGTCACACTGATGTTACGAAGATGCAACCTAGATTCTCTTGAACTATGTAGAAACAGATATAGGCTGAAAGTATTGTTCCAAATAATGCACGATCAACTGAAGATAGATAAGCTGAAATATTTACATTCTCCAGCAACAAAAGAAATCCCCGAACTAACCAGGATTGTGTCATAAAACCATACCGTACAAATACTGACACATTTCAATATTCTTTTTTTCTTTTTTTCCAGATGTCATAGAAATGTGGAACAAATTGCTGAACGAAATTGTTCTAAAAGATGTTGCTGACTTTGAAAATGCTGTAGAAGCGCATTTACGAAATTGCTAAATTAATTTTTTTCTCAGTGCCAAGTGATGTAAGCGACTTCATGTTCATAGCAAATATTTTGAAAAATGACTGTTATATTTGAATTGTTATTTGAATGTTGAGTTGTTAATTAAGAGAATACCAATTTTTATTGTAAGTTGTCAAGGTATTGTCAAACTTTATGAACATTGTACATTCTTTATGTATGTCCTCTCTGTTATCATACTCTCTATGAGGGTTGACAGTATAACCAAATAAAATAAATAAAAATTTTAACTCGATTGTTTGCATTCTGCCAAGCAGCCAACTTTCCGACTCTCTGGCTCGGAGGTATCATTTTGGCTAGATATACATATATATATATTTTTTTCATATTTACTGCACTCGCTCAGAACATTCTGAGCACTTTTACTTATTTACAGCGGTACATTTATGTACTTATTCTATTTATTTATTTTATTTATTCATACTGCAATCCCTATTACAGAGGTTTTAGCAGGGTGGTTACAGATATAATTTTCACAATGTTGGCACTCAAGATAGCATAAACCAAACAAACAAACAAAAAAATTTGTCAAATTTGCTGCAAACAACTCTAAGGACGGCTCCATCACTTGGTTATTAGTTAATCCATTCCACTGAGTTACTGAACGAGGAAAAAAGGAATATTTGAAGCAGTTATTTCGGGACCGGAAAGGGGTTATTGTAAGTTGATGCCTTTGGCGGGTGGCGTACCCAGAAGAAAAGGAAATGATGTTGGAAACATCAAGCTTATAATGCCCTTTAATTATTTGGTAAAGAAATTGTAGTCGTATTAAACAATTTCTTTCGGTAACTGAAGGCTCATTGGCACGATGTAGGAGTTCAGTTATAGAGGTGCGTCCAAAGCTATTAAATATAAAGCGGACTGCCTTCTTCTGCACGTTTTCCAATTTAGTTATGTTAGCTTTTGTGAAGGGGTCCCAAACAATCACTCCATATTCTAACACTGGGCGAATGATAGTCCTGTACGCTAGAGTACGCACCGTGGAATTAGAATGTTTTAGAGCTCTTCGAAGGAAGAATAGTTTTCGGTTAGCGTTCGTAACTACGGAGTCAATATGTTTAGTCCAGCTAAGGTCATTGGTAATCCAAATGCCAAGATACTTAATGTTAGTTACCTCAGAAAGGGTGAAACTTGCAGTGGAATAATTAAATAGTAAGGGTTTTTTCTTGTGAGTTATTCGCATAAATACTGTTTTATCGAAGTTAATTGACATCTGCCATAAATCACACCACTTCACAATGTTATAAAAGGCACTATTCAGAATGATTTGATCGGTTACATTGGATATTTCAGAATATATGACACAGTCATCTGCATACAACTTGATTTTTACAGGAACTTCATTCACAATATCATTGATAAAAATTAAAAACAAAAGGGGTCCAAGAACCGTACCCTGTGGGACGCCAGAGTCAAGACCCTAACCCACCGCGATTTCACGACAGCCACTGCCACCACCATACTGTCCACCCACCGGCCAGTGCAACGTTCGGAGGAAAACTGACGCGTGGTGTGCCCCCGGCCACCGACCTCACTGCTACCTCTGCGCAGAAGCTTTTTGCACCTACCGCCGCTGCATTGACCGCCTAATGGCCCTGCAAAGTTTTACCATAAACGCGCTGCGTCCACAGCGAATTGAATGACCACGCGACATCGCCGACTACCTCGCAGCAGCGCAGTGGACCCATTAGGATATTTGCCTTCGCCATCACTCGGCCACTGCATGTCACCACAACGCCGCCAGTATGCAGGCCCTACCCGGGGTCATTCCCTGATCCCACACCCGAAAAACTAAGGGCAGCAACTGATGGAGGTGCGGTTGCTATACGAGGAAACACTAAAGACCCTTCGCCGCCCTCGCGACGAAACCTCAAGAACCTGCTGTAACTTAAACGTTGCCCTGACGTCAAAACTTCACAGCCAGAAGATCTGACTGTGCCACGTGGAAACAGTGCAGCATACTGACGTAGCCAGGATCTGACGCCATGGCCTAACCGCAACGCAAGGCGATGAACTAGCGATCTCCGAATCAAAGAAATTTTAAATAGTGAAAATAATAACCTTAGATGATAAGTTTTCAGTTGCTTTGAGACATTGCTTGTTTACAAAGTACATATAATTAGCCTACATTGTGAGCAGTTGCCATGATAGGTATTCCCAATTAAGTGTCTTGTATGAAAAACAGGCAATTGATGAGGTGGACTATTCAACATATGCTCTTACATCAGGCTGTCCTGTATGAAAGAGAACCCTGGTTATACGACCTTGAATGGACCGTACACTAAAGTTGTTCATGCTGGGTGTCTTATACTAATCTAAAAACTAAGTAGTTGAGCTGAAATGCTCTGTCCTTGCCAAGAAATTGCTAGACTGCATGAATAAACCGGTGGATCAAGCCTGCAGTTCGTCGAAAATGGTCTATTACGTTATTTTTAAAAATGAATGCAAACCATTATTTGGAGTAAATGTGAACGCATCTTCATTCTCATCTTAATGAAAAAAAAACAATTAAATCTTCTTTGCTATGAAACAAGATTGAAAACTGCCTTTGTATGAAAATCGCCTTTTCGTGACAGGCATGGTGGGGCTGTGGCACTCGTCACCCGTTAACTCTGGCTCCCAGTTTTCTGCGAATATGATGCTCATTTCATTATTGACTGCCTGCACTGTAATGAAAATGCTGGTACATCTAAACCTTCTTGATTGAGGTAATATGGTAAAAGCATCTAACTGCAATGGCAGGTCTTCATCTCTTGCAGATACGAAAAGGATGAAATAGCCACCAAGGTGGACGAGCTGCGTGAACTTTTGCAGCAGCAGGGCCACCTGCTGGACTTCCCGGCTCCCAAGGATGAGGCAGGCCGCTCCATGTAAGTACAACCTTTCTCATCTACTGCACTAATCTAAAGATAATGTTCATGCTAGTAATACTCGTTGATTGGTAAAGCATAATCTGAGGATGCTATGATGCTAACTATACAATTGAACCCAGCTACAGTGAACTCCGCTTCAACGAAAAATGATTGTCAGCAATCCATAGGAGTCAATGCATAAATAATCTCGCCTCAATGAACACTTCAAAAAAGTGTTAAGAGCGCATAAAACGATTAAGAAAAGAACGGACAACAGAGGTAAAGTCTCGTCCTTTTCAATAAGGTTGAGAGCTGAGTTAGTTGGTGACCGTAAGGTTAAGTAACGCACTTTTTAACATTCACAACAGGGTTGAGAAGGTGTCGTGTCCTTCTTATTCCTGTTGTCCACGTTAAGTGGGCTACTTAACGTTACGGTAAAATGATTTCGTCCTTTTCCTAATCGTTCTATGCGCGGTTAACACTTTTTGAAATGAATTCCCGCCAACTTGCCCAAGCGTCAATCCTTTAACACTACGACCGCCTTTATTTCTGTTATTCCGCTTCAACCAAATTTTAAGATGCGATTCCAGGCTCAGATATTTAATGCTGTGTATAAAACACAATCTTGGAAATTTTGATGCATTTGAGAACATAAAAATATGTCTACGAAGTTAAAAACACACGTTGGCACTATTTCATGAAGGTCGCCATCATGGGGGTTGCCATTGCTCAACAGCAAGGGGTGCAAGTGCAGCACCGATTGCACCATTTTGCGCCAGGCTGTGCTTAAACGGCAATTTCCGAGGTAGTTCTCTATTGTAAACATAAACCGCTAAACCTAGCTGATTATTGTCGTCGACTGAGTAACACTGAGCGTTGGCTACACCAAAGACGCGGCTGCATCCGTGTCCAGTGTAGTTTGATCACATGTTCGATCATGACTATGTAATTCGGTTCATTCATAGGGCCTGCTGGTGCTCGTTTCATCGTTGTTATCGCCGTGGTTTTTCCATAAAAGTGGTGGCGCCAACATGGGTAATTGTGAATGGTCTTGTAACGTAGAGACACCTCAATAACGCGGCATGATCATGCACTAAACGAGAGTGCTCGTTTACAAGCACAAATGTGCATCTCCTGAGGCACGCCATCGCAACCAATAAAGAAATACTGTACCACAGCAGTTGTTGCCCAAAGTACCAACGAGAAAGAATTGTTACAGGGAATAAAGTATACACGATGAATATACTGGCGAGCAAATGCGTAAAACGCTGCTGCAGTCCGAGCACGTTCCCTTCAGCACTTCGTCATCGTCATCCTCAGGCATCTACTTAGCTCGTGACATTACCCGCTGGCGGCAAAAGCACTGCCCCGGTGCGATCAATTCTCGGGGCGTGAGTACAGTCGACTCCCGTTAATACGAAGTTCACGGGAACCGCAAAAAACTTCGAATTAAACGAACTTCGAATTAAGCAAAAAGCACTAAAAACGGCACTTTTATTAGTTTAAAAGCGCGACAGTTTTGAGGAAAAATAGTCTGTCATCTTCTTCTGCTTGCTGAATCTGGCTGCGGCTAGCAAGTTTTGTAAGGAATACACGTGTCGAAGTGCTTCTTCGGCGTTGTGTTCTCCAACAAAAAACCGCTGCGCAAGAGCAAGACCCGCAGCTACATCGGCAGCCCTCGGTGGTGGCTCATTTCCGATGCCGTCGTCATCATCGTCATTTTCAGGAATGCAGTCATGGGGCCGAACCATCTGCACGATTTCGCTGTCCGTTAGTGGACCGCATGTTTCGACGTTGCTGTCCACAGCGACATACTCGTCAAAACGGACGTCACCGAGAGCGGCGCGAAAGCTACCGTCGTCGAGCTCATTTGTTTGCACTTCCACTGGCGCACAAGGAGAAGCATCCCCCGAGTTTTCCATGAAACCACAGGCCCGGAAACAATTGGTGATGGTTTCTTCTTTCACGCGGGTCCAAGCTCGCGCTAGCATGTTGATAAGCAAACTCACCTCGTATTGAGACGAGTTGTCCATGCACAAAAGCATGCGCTCGACGAGATGCTGCCTATACAATACCTTCACATTTTTTATTATGCCCTGGTCCATGGGCTGCAACACGGACGTCGTGTTTGCAGGCAGGTACACAAGACGGATGGCACTCAAGGCAGGTACGTTCATGTGGGCACTACATTGGTCTACAAGGAACAACACCTTACGGCTTGATTGCGTGAACTTGCGGTCGAGTTTGATGATGCAGTCCTTAAATATATCGGATGTCATCCACGCCTTTCTGTTCGAGGCATAATCCACAGGAAGCGTCTTCACGCCTTTAAAGCACCTAGGCTTGGCAGCCTTCCCGATCACAAGCAGGCGACACCGTTCTGTGCCAGTCATGTTCGCCGCAACTAGCACTGACACTCTCTTTTTGCTTCTTTTGCCTCCAGAACAGTCGTCGTCTTTAAATGTCAGGGTCTTGTCCGGTAGCAGCTGATAAAAAAGCGCAGTCTCGTCTGCATTAAAAATGTCTGCCGGCTGGTATTCTTCGAGGTACTCGCGGAGCTTGCCCGCTTTCCATGTCAGGCACGTTTCCTCATCGACTGACGCCTTCTCCCCACACACGCTTTTAAAAATCAAGTCGTGGCGATGCCATTATCAAACGTACGTCACCACCACAACACTCAAAATCAGAAGCGCGGAAACACGTGTGGAATCAACCCAGCGCGCGGGTGACGGGGTGACACACTTGGTCTTGACAAAAGTCAACTAAAGAGTCAGTCGATGCCGCCGATGCGATTCGCCAGCGTTAAAAAGATTGCTGCTTCAAGATCTGTGGCGCTGCGGACAGTAGTGATGGCGAAGACACCAGAGCGGTCCGGCAGATGTTTTGGCATATGAAAAGTTCCTCATTTTACTGTAAAATTACGGTCGCGACGAGACTGTCGATTGAAAAAACTTCTAATTAACCAATATTATGGGTTTTTAACTTCGAATTATCGAGCATTTTTTTCTATACGATTGCATGCAAAACTGATGGGACCACTTGCTCATCTCTAATTAACCGAAACTTCCAATTAAGCAACTTCGAATTACCGGGAGTCGACTGTAGTATGGTTTAAGCCGTGAGACGTGCACTATATGGGTCGGGACTGAAGCTGGTACTGACGTGGTATGGAATGGAGCTATCTCATAGGTCACGCTGTTGACCTTGCGGATGATGCGGTAGGGGCTAACGTAACGGGACATCAGTTTTTCGCAGAGACCAACACGACGTGATGGTGACCACAGCAAGACGAGCGACCCCGGGGAGTACTGTACGTCGCGGTGTCGGCGATTGTAAGCACTTTTTTGGTTAAGCTGCGAGGCACATAAACGATCCCGGGCGACTTGGCAGGCGATGTCAGCTCGGGCCAGGGCATCACGAGCATAAGCAGTCGATGAGGGGGCGTCAGATTGGATCATGGTGTCCATGGGCAAAGGCGGGTCATAACCAAACAGTAGGTAAAAAGGTGAAAATCCAGCTGTGTCATGACGTGAACTGTTGTATGCAAAGGTAACGAAAGGTAAGTGAATGTCCCAATCTTTATGATCCTTGGAGACGTACATCGCTAACATATTCGCCAGGGTACGGTTGAGGCGTTCCGTGAGGTCGTTGGTTTGTGGGTGGTACGCTGTAGTGAACTTGTGGTGGGTAGAGCAGGATCGCAGGAGCTCGTTGACTACTTTAGATAGAAAACAGCGGCTGCAATCGGTGATCAACTGACGAGGAGCACCATGACGCAGAGTGATGTCATGAAGGAGGAAATCGGCTACATCAGTAGCGCAGCTGTGGGGAGGGCGCGTGTAATGGCATACTGCGTTGCATAGTTGGTAGCAATAGCAATCCACTTATTACCGGTGGCCGACACGGGAAAAGGTCCTAGGAGATAGAGGCCAACTCGGAAAAATGCCTCATCTGGTACTTCAATGGGCTGGAGGGTACCAGCAGGTCCCAAAGCAGGTGTCTTGCGGCGCTGACAGAGTTCGCATGCCGCAACATACTGTGGCACAGAACGGGAGAGGCCAGGCCAGAAGAATCAGCGGTGAACGCGGTCATACGTGCCTGACACCCCTAGATGTCCAGCGGAGGGGGGGTCGTGGAGCTGGGCCAAAACGTCTGAGCGAAGATGCGCAGGAACAATGAGTAAAAGCTCAGCACCATCTGGGCGGGCGTTTTAGCGGTGCAAGATGTCGTTGGGAAGAACGAACAGTTGTAAGGCGTGGTCAGGGTGGGGAGAGGGCAGACCATTGATAATAGCACGCAAAGAGGGGTCGCGGCATTGTTCAGCAGCTATGTCGGTGAAGTTGGTAATTGAAAGAACGAGGGCCTCTTGTACATCTTCCATCATGTCAGTCAGGGGGATCGACTGGGTAACGGGACAAGCAGTCGGCATCCTTGTGAAGTTGTCCGGATTTATAGGATACGGAAAAAGTGTACTCTTGTAAGCGCAGCGCCCAGCGACCAAGGCGTCCCGTAGGGCCCTTGAGTGAGGAGAGCCAGCAAAGCGCATGGTGGTTCGTAATAACTGAGAATGGTCGGCCATACAGGTACAGTCGAAATTTGGCAATGGCCCAGACGAGAGCTAAGCACTCGCGTTCTGTGATCGAATAATTTTGTTCAGAGCGTGACGACGCGGTGCATTTCTTGTTGCCGCTGCGCCAGCACTGCGCCTATGCCGTGGCCACTGGCGTCAGTACGAAGCTCCGTGGCGGCAGAGGGGTCGAAGTGTGCTAGGACTGGTGGATTGGTGAGAATGTCAACGAGCGACGAGAAGGCATTTGCTTGCTGTTGGCCCCAGGTGAATGCGACATCTGTTTTGAGGAGGCAGGTTAGAGGACGGGCTACTTCAGCAAACTTCTCGACAAAACGAAGGAAATAGGAGCACAGTCCCAGAAAACTTCGGACGTCCTTGGCTGAGCGGGGTGTGGGGAAGTCACGAACTGCTCGGACTTTCGCAGGGTCTGGTTGAACGCCCGCAACGT